TGTATAGATGCAGAAACCCTAAAAGAGCACGTCTAGTCTGCCCTACAGGGTCACTGTGAGTGGGAACAGGAAAATGTTTATGGCTACACCATTTGTAATCACCGCCAAGTAGAAATGCCCCAACTGTTCATCAACAGTCAAATGGATAAATACATACACCATGCGTATTGGTGCCCTAGATTGTTATATAGACATGAAAATTAATCTTCCAATTACTGCACAATGGATCACAAAAGAAGGTTGAGCCAAAGAAGCTGGACATGAAAAGGTTTGTCCTACATGGCACAAAAGCATGGTCTTGTTTGCTTTATGGGAGGGTTGACCTCAATCCTTGCTTCTCAACACTGAAAGAATTCACACAGCAGAAGCACTTTTGTAAATCCAAGTAGCTTTTTTGAGGGCAATGGAAGTTTCAGGTATTACAGTCTCAGAAAGTACACATTATCTCTGGAAATCCTGCAAGCCTGAGCAGGGACCACCCAAGAATTCGAGAGTACCGGAGTTGAACCCGAACACGAGTGTGGAACCAGAGTTCAGAGCCAAGAGAGCGCAGCTGCCCTTGGGCCCTGCTTTTGTCTCCTCCATACTTGAGGGGCCATGATTGAGGGTATTGCCACTCCCAGTGGCTAAGTTCAAAGGCACCTGTGATGCTGACCTGTGAAGGTTGACCTTCACCTGCCCTTAGGTAACCGTGGTCTGTGCATTCTCAGTTCTGGATTTTCCCATGGGTGTCCAATGGGTGTCTAATTCCCTTCCAACCCCTTTATTGTGGCTATTTAATAAATGGCTTAGATCCTCGGATCCTAGCATTGTGGGATGTAGGATGACATATTCACCTAGTTTAATTTCTCTTTCTTCACGGTTATCATCCAGCCCAGTAAAGCTGGCCTGTGAGCTGTGAAGATGCCATTAAAGAAATAGGCTCAGTCCCCTGGCCAAGGGGGGCCGACCAGGCTTAGTGTCACTTGCTGACGCCACCCTTGTGCATATGCAGTGCCGCTCGTTCTCTAAGAAACCAAGGCATGCCGGGGCATGGAACTCAGGCCCAGGACCTGTATCTCATTAGGCAAGAGTAAATTTGCACATGTCTATGCATAAAGAGCAATAACAGCTTAATGTAATTGTATATTGGTTTATGCTGTGCCCTTTTCCCAGTGAGGCAGCATCTAAGACAGATCAAAAGATTGTTTTAATTCCAGTACAGTATGCATAAAGGCGACCTGAGTCTGTGACACATTGCATCCTCGTTATAAATTTCATCCTGAGGCCCAATTAACAGGCTTGGTACTCACTTTCATTAAAATAACAAGCAACCACAAGGCAGCAGGGTTTTATGATATCACGTAGCCACCAGAGAAATCACTTTGGACCTTTGATTTGTATTCCTTTCCATGTGTAGTCAGTCTTTCCTGTCAAAGCCAGGGTCTGAGGCTTGTCATACCTCTTGAAGGGGACTGCTGTGTCTGAGGAAGGGAGAGGCCTTGGATTCTAAGGAGAAGTAGTTGTCCTCCTCAACTTGTATGCGCGCACACACACACACACACACACACACACACACACATACACCTCACACTGAACTACCTCTCAGCCCTCGGGCTCAGTGTCACATCACTTCAAAGCGCAGCCTACAGAACCCTAAGCACAGACAGGGAAGGTGATCCTCTTCTCTGGACGCTAAGGTTTCTACCATGTTAGCCCCTGGGCCGGGCGGGCCTCTTGACTTGGGATCCATGTGGAGTTGGGTTTGGGTTGTGAATCTCCTGAAAGGACATACACTGCTCTCTGAAGAGGGCTCTTGGCCAGATTTTTTGTATTCCTGAATCCCCCAAATACAAATCTTTTCTAACTTTGCTCTGATGGTTTAAGACCAAAGGGTGCAATAGAAGGAATTAGGGATGGAGAGTCAGACGGATTTGGAAGGCCTCCAAAACATTTTAGCTGTGTGGCCTTGGGCAGGCTACATGACCCCTCTGAATCCCCATTGTATCAAAAAGGAAAGCAAAGGTAAGGATAAGGATGCCTATTTTGTGCTTCAATGGACAGGCTTTGAATTTAACATTAAGACCTTTGTGCTCAATGGAACCCTAATTGGCCTAATTCCATCTCCCAGTTCTGACCATGATCAGAAAGGGGTGCAGTTCACTGATGTCCCCTGGGTTTGTGCACCGATTAGCTCTGGCACTTGTCAGCAACCTGGCT